AGCGGGCTCCGCGGACGCTACGTGACAGACAGGGAAGAGATACAGTTCCGCAAGAGGAAACTGTGGCGCTCGTGGGGCCCTATTTGCACCTGTTGCTCCGAGTCTGCGTCTCCGGCAGGGCCACCTGGAGCTGCCGTGGGCCGCGGGTTTGCTCTGCACGTCTGCAGAGCCTGTGGGGAGGGATAGAGCCAGCGACGGGTGGTCGGGGCTGGAATGCGCCCGCGTGAAATGTCCCCGCTCCCACGGAAGAGTGGTGGTTTGCAACCCAGCGCCTCTGGGGCCGTCCCACCTGTTGGGACCGAGGGCGTCTAGTGGCCGCAGCTGGTGATGGCTTTGGGAGAACTGGTGAGCTTGGGCATGCCCGGGGCATCACGGTTCCTTCGGACCTTTCCTCGAAACGTGGCGCGTGAAAATGGAGCGCAGGGCCGTTACCCGCCAGGCACAGCAGTTGGTTTCCTCCGGGGGCTTTCGGTGGAGGGCGGTGGGAGCAGCCACCTCTGCTCATAGGAGGCCCGAGGGCCCCGTCTGCGTCTCTGCCCCTCGGCTCCAGACGTGAACAGAGTCGGACTTCGCGTTCGCGTCTCCACCAGGGACTCAGAGTCTGGGGAAAGCCCCGGGGTGGGGAATTCTGGGGCACCGGCGGTGGCTTTCATCAGTCCAGGATTAGACGTGCGATTTGTACCCTGTTCTTTTCCTGGGTAAAGAAAGTGTTTTCGCAAGAGACAACAGTGTCCGATTGGCTGGAAAAATGAATTTGCGGAATAATACGTACCAGTCATCTCAATCATTTTTTGGGATAATTTGATTGAGTCTGCTCCTGGTTTTGTGTTGGATAAATTTTTATACCCTAATGTTACTTTCAGTCAAGGCGAAGGGCAGGATTTTGGCTTTTGTTGCAGGTAGGTGTCTCCTGTAGGCATGTTGCTCAACTCTAATGGGACACTAGGAGACTTTGTAGTTTCTGTTCTTGGGGTTTATTTTGGGTTGAGGCTTCTCAACCCGGGACTTCATACTGACTCCTGCAGTGCCTGGGGACGTGTGTCCTGGTGACAGGCCCGGGGGCTCCGGTGTCCCTTGGCGTCTGCACTCAGCCCTGTTGTTTGTTCTGGGTCGCACCTCACAGCGCTGAGCCCTTTCTCCTGGTTCTGCCTCGGGGGTCGCTCCTGTGGGCCCAGGGGACCCCGTGGCACGCTGGGGGTGGAACTTGAGTCGGCCACGTGCAAGGGAGTGTCTACCCACTGTGCTGCTCCCGCTCTCCGCCGCCAGCGTCATCGTAGAAAAATTGTTTATTTTTCGGTTGAATCGCAGTGGGACACGCAGTCGCAGGGCTGTTCATGGTTGGGTTTCAGGCATACGGTGTCCCGGCACACGTCCCTCTTCCAGTGCACGTTTCCCACCACCAATGCCTGTGTCCCCAGTCTCCCCCCACCCCCATGGCAGGCACCTCTCTCTCTCCCCCTCTCTCTCCCTCTCCCTCTCTTTCTGTCTCTCCCCTTTTGGTCATTATGGTTAGCAGTGCAGATACTGAAAGGTTATCGGATAGATCCCTTTACCTGCTTTAAACACTCAGTTTCTGTCAAAAGTGTTAATTTCCAAGTATTACTAGTGTCATTTTAACACAAAGGAAAAGACTTCATTCTTATTACAATTAATAGTCTCCTCGTCAAATCCATGAAATGTGAGTTCATTTCCTGTGCCCAGACAAATAGCTCCGGGTGCAGTTGCCAGAGTATTGGGGGTGGCTCGGGGGAGCAAGCCCAGGCGTCCCGCGCACGGGTGGGGCACGCGCCTCGCCCCTGAGCTGGTTCAGGACACGGCGCACCTCCTCGTGTGAGGCTGATGGGGACCCAAGTCGTTCTTCGTGTCTGGTGCCCCTCCTCGAGGTGGGAAACTCCACACCTGGCAAAACCGTTTCTCCACGTTTTTTCAGAGTCTGTAAGTTTTTGTTTCCGGAGAGTTGTCTCCAAGTCCACGCTGGGCAGGCTTAGGCAGCCCCTTGGCCACGGGCAGAGTCCCTGGGCAGAGAGAGTCCTGAAGACCCCACTGTCCCCAGCGTGGTCAGCGACTCCGGGCCGGCCGTTTGCTTCGCTTTGAACCAGCCAGTCTTCTGAGTCGAATCAAAGCATTTTGTTTTTCTGGACGGTGCAGATACCAGCCTCATGCCCCCTGATTTCTCATCACACCCAATGAATCTCCATCCCGGCTCACGTACCCGGCTTTTGTGACCCTTGTTGGCACAGAGCTGCTTCTAGAACTTGACGCCACTCAGCAGCTGTCCAGGGTCCGGCTCAGCGCCCCCTCTCTGCCTCCGGTGTCCCTGTGTGCCGTCACCTCCTGGGGGGAAAACTCAGACTTGCGCAGCGTGAGTGCGGCTTTTGCCCGTCTCACCTCCCGGAGCTGGCAGAGTAGCTGCAGGGTCTGTGGGCTGCAGACCCAGACAAGCCAGCAGCTCTCCTGGGCGCCTGGGGCCACGTTGTGGGAGTTTGGATGTGTCTCCCTCTAAATGTTTGTCCGGAAAATAGTATTTTTTTGCTGTTGGCATTTGAAGAGAATTCTGTTACCCAAAGGAGGCTGACTGGATCTTAGGTTGTCAACAGAGCCCCCTCGGGAGGGTCCAGGGGACTGAAGTCTGCCACAAGAAACGGGCATCACCTGGATTCCCTACCTGTGTCGAGTTCAGCCTGCGTCCTGCTGATGTCCCGGCTCCCGGCAGCCGGGGATGCTCCCGCGTGCGCCCTTTGCCCTGCGCCGGGTTTCCTGCTTCAACTGGTGAACCCCTGCTCGCAGAGCGGAACTCGGGCAGTCCCTAAAATGGTTTGGTGGCGTTGCCATGGCAGCGTTCTGGGGCCGACAGCCCAGCGCTTAACCAGCATTTGCTCACGATGCTTTTGAATTTGCTTTGAACCTTTTAAATGACGTCGCAGGCACCCCAGGGGGATGAGACCGTTGCTCAGAGCCGCGTCTGTCTCCGTGGCGGGGCTGGTTTGGGCCGTGGGCTTTGCTGCACGTTCTGTCTCGGGGAGGGGGCGACTGCCCGCTGCAGGCCCGCGCCACGCTCTGGCCTCTGGCTCGTTTCCCCCGCGCAGTCCTTGCCCAGCCGCCTGCCTTTTGGGTTCTAGAGCCGATGCCGGCCCCTGCTCTCAGCTTCCCCGCCTGCCTCTGGCAGACGCAGCTCCCAGGGATGCTCAGAAACGATGCGGAAGGGCCCTGCACGCAGGCTCCCCTCGCCGCGGGACAGACAGATGGAGGAGGGCACGCGCCAGGATCGGCGAGGAAGGCCCCCGAGGCCCAGAGCGTTCAGGAACAAAGTCCAGGTGGCGCGTCCCTGCCGTGGCGCTCCGCGTGCGTAGGGCTTTCCCGCACGGACGTTCCTGTGTCCATCCCGCCGCTCTCAGCAGCTCTCGGAGTCTTGGACTCGGTTGTTCTGAGCCCAGCGAGTCTTGGCACTTTCCTAGTCGAGCCTGTTTTCGCTGGGGTGCTTCAGACCGTTCAGATCGGTTCCAGGAGGGTCTTGTTGTTTGTTTTTGTTTGTCTGCTTTTTTGTGGGGTCACACTGGTGATGCTCAGGGCTTACTTCCGGCTCTGCACTTCGCAGTTGCCCCTGCCAGTGCTCCAAGGATTGAACCCGGGCTGGCAGCCGGCGAGGCGAGCACCCCACCTGCTGTGCCGTCTCTCCAGCGCAGCGGTGACCCGTGCCTTCCCGTCCCGCAGACTCCGAGGATTCTGACGTGGCTCCTGTCCAGCCCACCCCCATCTCTGCTGTGCTGTTCCCTCCTGTTTCTCCCAGCCAGCAGTTTCCTCCTCAGTCTCTCGCTCAGCCTCTCCTCTGCTGTGCAGAGCTGTGAGGTTCTGGTATCACACACCGCGTTCTTCACGTCTGTCATTTCTGGCCGTCGTAGTCTTTCCCATCTGACTCTGCGTTGACGGTGTCGTCGTGCCTTTGAGCCCTTGAATGCGGCTTCTCTGAACCACTGACTGAGGCTTTCCTGGGACTGGAGTCTTTGGCGACACTGGTTTGCTCGTTGAGCTTGGCGGGCTTCCTGTGTCTTCCCCTGGTTTCCTCTGGTGCCACGGCCGTTTCTGGGGGCGCGCCTTGGTTTCTAGTGTTCCTGCCTTGCTGGGTGAGTCTCTGTAGTGAGACCCCTGGGAGGTGCTGAGGGACGAAGTGGAGGTTTCTGTCTGTCTTCACCGAGTGACGGGAAGGGTCGTGTGAGCAGCGTGTTGCTCTCTGAGTGCATCAGTCGCGCCCAGCTCGGATGTAGGGGTTGCTGGGCCCTGGACTCCGTCCCCGTCCTGGGCCAGGCCCCATGACATCAGCAGGGAGCGGCCAGCGGCGGGCAGAAAGCCCGAGAGGGTCACCAGGCCCGATGCCGCTGATGCCAGCTGCCTCGGCTCCTTTGGTGCTTCTTGCTCGGTGACTGTCCAAGTGGCTTTGTTTATTTATTTTTTTTAATGAAATGAGCCTTGTGGTCTGGGGAAATGTGCTGAAATGACCTTGGAAGCACTTTCCCGAGTGGCAGGACACTGAGACTGGGCATGAGATGGACATGGACCCCAGCCGGAGTTTGTCCCCACGGCAGCTTTTCCTCGGACCCGTCCCTGCAGCCTCATGGTGGGCACTTGTGAGCACATTTGATCCAGACACTTCTACTGAGAGCAGTTGCTCTCGGGCCTTCCTTTGGGGTGGACGTGAACGTTGGCGGGACTTGTACCTCCTCCGGAGTAAGGCAGTGGAATCAGGGAGCCTTTCCGGGATTCCTGACGGCCACTCACGTGTCCGCATGTCGGTGCGGCTGACTGGCGCCGTTCTCACGGGCCGTGTGTGGTGGCACAAGCTGACTCGGCGGCGTTGCCAGCTGTCACAGCCCTTTTCCTTCCCTGGCATCTGGCGCACGTGTTCACCGTTGGGCCGGCGTTTTGCTCGGAGGGGGAGATGGAACCGCCTGGAGTCGGTGGGGGCAGAGACTCTGCGCTGAGCACCGCGTTCCGTGTCGTTGCAGTGTCGGTTACTATGGCAATGACGGCCGGGACGACAGCCCCGTTTCCTATGAGCAACCACACCCGGGAGCGGGTGACCGTGGCCAAGCTGACGCTGGAGAACTTCTACAGCAACCTGATCACCCAGCACGAGGAGCGGGAGACCAGGTACGGCTCGCGGGGCTTCTGCCTCCCCAGGGGGTGGCGAGGCTCTCGGTGGGGAGGCGGCCTGGAGGTGGCCACGGGTGGCAGCACGTCCCCGACAGATGCCGCCCGCCGTGGCCCTGGCGGCAGCCCGTGCTCCTGCCCTCTCGTGTCCCTCGCCCCTGTTTCATGCCGGAGGCGCGTGGCCTCTTGGGACCTAGAGCACCTCCTGGAGGTTCCAGGCGAGCGTTTCCACGTTTGAATGCCGCGGCCCGAGGCGGCACTGCTGGTGCTGCCCAGACACACTTTTCCCTCAGCTCCTTCTCTGGAGAAAGCCCCGAGCCCTCGGCAGAGAGCCACGGCCCCACGGTGCCCGGTGCAGACGCCCGCAGTCTGCAGGGGTAGCTGGTGCCCGCGGGACCGTTCTTCGTGCTGAGGGTGATGGAACGTGTCACTGGGGCATCTGCATGGACCGGCTGTGAGCGGTTGTAAGGAATTTGCCTGGGAAGGCAACTAAGTTCTATAAAGGGTTGGGCTCCCTTTCTGGGCCTAGTGCCCGAGGGGTGAGTAGGGGTGGGGGGGCCCAGCCCGACAGTGCTCAGGGCACCTGCGGTCTCTCCCGTGCCCGGCTGTGTCCAGCCCCTGAGCTCGCTCTCCGGCCCACCGGGACCTCTGCGTGATGGTTCATCCTCGGTCCTTCTCCTGACACCCTTTCCGGCTCCTTCCGGAATGAAGAGCTCGCCCGGCCGCAGGCTGGGACACGCAATCCCGTGCCGTCTGGGGGCTGCAGTCGCCCGGGTGTCCCGTTCCCGGCACCCGCCGCCCCACTCCACGCCGAGCTCGCGCTGTTGAAGCTCCGCTAAGACATGAGGATGGGAACGTGACTGTTTGCATTCGTTCTGCATTTTTGTCTTGCTTTTGTTCCAGATCCAGCAGTGCGCAAGGCCTACGCCTGACTGCTCTTGGATCACCCCTGGCGGGTGCTCAGGGAACAGTATGGGGTGCTGGGGATTGAACCCCCGTCAGCCGCGTGCAAGGCAAACGCCCCTGCCTCTTGCACTCTCTCTCCAGCCTTGGGAACTTGGCTATTCTAGAAAAGCAGGAGTCCCGGTTACAGGGTTGCTTATTTTATTTATTTATTTGTTGCTTTTTGGGTCACACCCGGTGTTGCACAGGGGTTACTCCTGGCTCTGCGCTCAGGAATCACTACTGGCTGGCGGTGCTCGGGGACCATAATGGGATGCTGGAGACTGAACCTGGGTCGGCCACGTGCAAGGCAAACGCCCTCCCCAGTGTGCTGTCGCTCCAGCTCCAGTTGCTTATTTTTTAATATACATGTGTGCGGTGATATCTTTTCCTGAGCGTTTGGGAAAATCAAGCTCGAAATTCAAGGGAAGGATGCAAAGAAGTTCATGGAGCCAGTAGGTGTCGGAGTCGGGATCCTGACTCAGGGGCTGAGAGCCGGGGTCAGACTCAGATGGGATCAGACTCGGGGGGCTTAGAGACGGGATCAGACTCGGGGGCTTCTAGATGGAGATTCCCAGGCTGCGGTTGGTTGACACTCAGGGCTTGAGTGATGCTGAGTGTTCTTGATTTTGGCAGTTGGAACACTAGCTAGCAGGAGTTCCCATAACAGAACCGCAGTCGTTTAGCCAAGGTTCATACAACCTTAGAAGTGAATTGCTTCACCAGCATGAGGAAGCAAAATCTAGGCCATGTCACTATTTTGAAGAGAGTTTCTTGGTAATTATGTTTGTTCAGCTTGATTTTTTTTTCTTTTTAGCATAGCAATTCGTAGTGTTTAGTAAGTAAATGTTCATCTTTAAAAGGGGGATGTTAAGGACTGTCTTTAGTTTTAATTTTTTGTTTTCATTTGAAAAGGCAGAAGAAGTTGGAAGTGGCCATGGAAGAGGAAGGACTGGCAGATGAAGAGGTGAGAGCGGGTGGGCGGGGCCTGTGGGGGGAGGGGAGGGAGCAGCACTAGTGGTGATTTCGAGCGCCTCCTCTGGGGAGCCCTGGCCACTGTGCCCGCCCCTGTCCCCCGGTGCTCTCTGTGCGCGTCCGTTCCCCTGCTTCGCCTGCTCAGGCCCATGTGGGTGTGGAGACGGTCTCTGGGCCGGCTTGCATCCCAACCCATGCTGACCTGTCCACCCTCCGGCCTCAGACTGTCCCCTCGGCCACCCGCTCCTGCCCAGCCCCGTCACTCCAGAGGTGCTTGTGCTCTCTTCTGCTCAACTTCTGTCGGAAGCCAGCCCGCTGCTCTTGCGGTGCCCCTCCCTTCTGCCCTGGGACCCCCTGAATCATCTTTCCAAAGCAGAAGCTCATCACGTCTGGAGTGTGTGGGGGGAGGGGGAAAGTAAGAGGGTTCGGGCCACACCCGGTGGTGTTCCGGAAGCGCTCCTGGCTTTGTGCTCAGGGCTCACTCTTGACTGCTGGGCGTTGAATCGGGCTGGCGGCATGCAGGGCGAATGCTTGCCGTGTGTGCTCTTCCCCGTCTCGGCCCTAGAACTCTCCTGGGTTCTTACATGTCCTTTGCTTCAATTCGATAGCAAGGTCTCATGATTCGTTACCTCATAAATCAGCTGTGTGAATCTATAAAACCCAAAAGTATTCACAAAAAAATCGGTATATTATTCTTAAAGCACATTTATGTTCTTTTTTTTTTTTGCTTTCTGGGTCACACCCGGCGATGCACAGGGGTTCCTCCTGGCTCTGCACTCAGGAATTGTTCCTGGTGGTGCTCGGGGGACCATGTGGGATGCTGGGAATCGAACCCGGGTCGGCCGCGTGCAAGGCAGACGCCCTCCCCGCTGTGCTACTGCTCCAGCTCCCTGTTCTTTGGCTTTTAACTGAGGAAGATCGTAACAACATTCTTCACTTTCCCCCCACGTTCAGTCTGTATTTCTCATTTCCCCTCATGCTTGGTGTCCGTGTTCTTCTCTCCCGCTCGTGTTTGGTCAGCGTCCTTCACTCGCTGCTCTTCCTCCCTGGGGTTGCTGCAGTGCCATGGGGCCACCCCGAGGCCAGCCCCGCGTGGTGCTGCTGCCCTTTGCCGGCTGGCCTGGGCTCCCTGCACTTTCATTTCCTCTGCTCCGCTGGACGTGATGGGACAGTGCCACCGTGTGGCTGGTTTCGAGTATAGTCTCACACTTGTTTTGTTCGGATTATTGATGTAAAACTAGTATCCCGTGTGGTCTTAAAACTCGTGTTCTTTACGGGTTCTTTTGAACTAAAATTTGGGGGGGTGTTGGGCCACAGCTGCGGTGCTTAGGGGTGACTCCTGGCCGTGCTCGGGACCGTGTGGACCGTGGGTCGGGTGTTCGCGCTGCTGCTGTGCAACCGCCCTGGCCCCTTCTTTGAATCTTAACCGAGAAAGGCAGTGACACGCGCGTGTGACATCTGTCAAGGATCCTCCCTGGGATCCCGTGGGGGACGTGTTCCGCGGCCTTCGGGGAGCAGCAACAAGCCTCCTCTCGTGGGTGTGGCGGGCGCGGGTTCCACGCGCTCAGAGGAACGGCTGGGCCCTGTCGCTCCCTGCGTTGATGTCCGTGTGACACACAGCCCCTCATGTCCTGAGGAGGAAGCCGGCGCTCCTTCAAGGGGCTGCACGGGGGCGTGGCCCGTCTGCGCTCGGACACACACGTGACAGCCCTGTCACCTCTCCTGGCGGCTCAGTGTGTCAGCAACACCGACAGAAACGCAGCCTCGCATCAGGACAACACGGGGGGCGTCTGCCGTGCGTGCGGCCAGCCCGGGTTCCATCCCCACACCCCAGATAGCTCCCGCGAGACTGCCCGGAGCAATTCCTGCGCGCAGAGCCAGGAGTAACCCTGAGCAAAGCTGGGTGTGACCCAAACCCAGAAAGCGAGCAGCCAACCCTCCCGCTCCCTTTGTGTGGAGAGAGGAAGGACAGGTTCCCACGGTGCCCCGAGGCAGCGCCTTTCTTGTGGTTCTGGACGTTTCCACACTTGGAGAGGGTCACCTCGCGTGACCTCTGCAGAGGGAATTCTTAGAGGGGTCCCTAAGAGGCTCATGTTTGTGCTTGGAGGAGGGGCGAGTTCGCGCTCCAGGTCTGCCCAGGGTGGACTTTGCCCTCGTGATGGGCATGTGCCAGCTGGCACTCGGCTGAAACAGGCTTCCTGCACGCCCACCTCCGGGCTCCAGAGGCGCTTCCCGGCGTGGGGTTGCTGCGATGGCGGCATGGGTGTGAGGGCTGGCGGGCTGGCCAGGACGGAGTGCCTGCTGCCCCCGCAGGGATAAGACAGGGGGCTGCAGTGATTGTGCGGCGGGGAGGGCATCTGCCTTGCACGCGGCCAACCTGGGTTCGGTCCGCCACATCCCAGATGGTCCCTCAAGCACTGCCAGGAGTAATTCCTGAGTGCCGAGCCAGGAGTGACCCCCTGAGCATCACCAGGTGTGGCCCAACGGCCAAAACCAACCAAAAAGCAAGAAAGAACAAAGATCGGTCGTTATTAGAAGTCTGCACCATTCCTTTGGCCTGCTTCCTTCTTCCCACGTAGGGTCGCTCCTCACCTGGGGGCCGTGAGGGACAGTGCGGGTGTGCGTGCCTGCAGGCCCTGGCCCGGCTCCCTGCGCGTGACCCGAGCTGTTGTCCGTTTGTCGTCTAGAAAAAGCTGCGCCGGTCCCAGCACGCGCGCAAGGAGACGGAGTTTCTGCGGCTCAAGAGGACGCGGCTCGGCCTGGACGACTTCGAGTCTCTGAAGGTCATAGGAAGAGGCGCCTTCGGAGAGGTGCGCTGACGCCGGGCACAGGGGCCTCCCGCCCGCTGCCTGCGGGGTAACAGTGGGGAACCCTCCTTCGCATCAGGGTGGAGACGCCTGGTGGAGCATGGTGTGCACCCAGGCTTGTACCGAGATAGTTTAACTTGAGTAAAATGACCCAAATGCCCATCCCGACAGACTCCTACCCTCCCTCGTTGTCCCCGAGCTCGGTCCCGTGGTAGCAGTCAGTGACAGCCCGTCGTTCTTAGCGGGATGTGGGATGTTCTTGTGTTGCAGGTGCGGCTCGTGCAGAAGAAGGACACGGGCCACATCTACGCCATGAAGATCCTGAGGAAAGCGGACATGCTCGAGAAGGAGCAGGTGGGAGCCCGCCCGCGTCTCCCACCCCCCAGGCCGGCACCCAGCAGGCCACCGGGCACCTTCCGTTGCCCGTGGCTGTGCTCGAAGGGTCACGGTGCTCCCAGCCCACTTGGGGGAGGGGGCTGGTGCCCAGGGATCCACCTCTGACCCCGGGCCCAGTTTTAGTCACCATGGTCCGCAGTACTGTCGGTGTCGGGCTTCACGCGTGTTCCCCGCAGGGCTGCTGCTCCCGCCACTGCCTGGTGCCGACACGCGTGCACACGCACACATGTGTGCACACACAGATACATGCACACACAGTTACACACCAACTCACGCACATAGACACACCAACAGATACACACCACATGCGCACACAGATACACACCGACACATACGCACCCACAGATACACACTGACACACACACATGCAGATACACACCAACACACACGCACACACACATGCACGCACGCCTGTGTGCGGACCCGTGCTTGTCTCCCGCCGCAGCAGTCAGCTCACTTCCGCAGACAGGGTCTCAGGATCTGTCGCCTTTGGCCGTTTGTTATTTCCTGTGACGCTTCCTTCTGTCCCGCAGAGGAGCACTCATTCTGTCTGCCCCTCTCCCCTGACGGTCTTCCTCAGCAGGGGACTCTCCGGATCTGGCCGCGTAACCACATTCTGCGTGATCTCATGTTTTCTTTTCTTGTCCCTGGGTCAGACTGCGCGCTGCGTCGGACCTTAGTTCTTCACCCCGTCTGTGCTGGCCCCTGGGGCGGTCCCCGGCCTTGGCTCTTGTGACTGGTGCTCCGTGAGCACAGGGTGCAGAGGGCTCTCCCGAGGGCCCTGCCAGAAGCGGCCTGCCGGGTTGTGGAAGTTCGGTTCTTGGGCTACTGGTTCCCTGGAAGTCAGCCTCCGCCGATGCTCCCTCTCGCTGCGTGTGCGGGTCCTCTCCCCCGAGAGCTCGTGGTTTCTCCCTGGTTCCCCCGATGACGGGTGTCGTGCAGTCCTACTGCCCATCAGGACGTCTTGGAGGAAGTTTTTATTTCCCCCCACTTTTTCGATGGGGTTGGTGGGGTTTTGCTTTTGCTGTCGGGTGCTTTTGGGTGTTCTCGAAGCTTTCCGCATCCCGGGTATCGATCCCTTTCCGGAAGAGGCGTGCCGCATTCTCTCCCGGGCCGTGCGGTCCTCTGCTTCTGGCCGTCGTTGCCTTCGTGGTGCGGAAGCGTCTCGGTGCGATGTGGTTCCACTCGTTTCTCTTCTGCGTGCTCGGTCAGCGGCGTTGGCGCGGGGAAGCTGCCCCAGGTTCACTGTCCGGCAGGGCCGCCTGTGTCCCGGCATCTCTCAGGAGTCAGTTCTGACGTTGAGGCCCCTCACCCATTCGGCGTGGGAACGGGTCCGATGCGGTTTGCACGCGTGACCGCCCAGTTCTCCCTGCACGGTTTGTTGCGGTTTCCTGCCTCGCCGCCTCCCTGCTCCGCTGTTGACAACCAGCTGTCCGCACATGGGTGACCTTACTGGCACACACCTGGAGCTCGTGAGACCGTGACGCTGTGTCGTTGCAATAAGGCGTCACCCGGGGAACTTACACGCACCTCGTCACGGTGACAGGAAGGAGAAGCGGGAGCAGAGGCAGCTGGGGGGTCCGGCCAGGCCAGGTTCCCGCCTGGCTGCCGTGGGGAGGCCTCATGGGGACCTTGGCGGCAGAGGCAGGAGTGCCCTAGCAGTGAAGCAGGCAGGGCCTGAGGACGTTTCTCTGGGCTCGCTGCTAGCCGCTTGGGCAGGAATCAGGTGGGACCTGGGGTTTGACGGGCGGGTGCTGTGCCAGGGAATACAGGGGAGGGGAGAGGGGTGAAGGGTTGGGGGCTTCCTGGAGGGCTCTGGGGAAAAGAGGGAGGGAGAGAGCCGGCCCTTGGGGTGCCCGAACATGGGGGTGTTTGGTCATTGGTGCGGACAGGGACAGGGAGGCCAGGCTGGGCAGGGGCCATCACGAGTGCGGGCAGGAGCATTGTGTGAGGAGTGAGGGCGCCGCCCAGGCCTGGGCTCCTGACTGAGGCAGGGATGCTCAGGGGGTCCTGTGGGGCCCCGGGGCGGTCAAGAAGGGGCAGAGGCACCCCTGGCACGGGCAGACAGGAGACCACTTCGCCAGGGCCCTGGGAGCTGCTGTAGGTGCTGACTGGAGGGCGGGGTGTTGGGGAGGGAGAGTGGGCGGGGCCCGGGGAGGAGCAGAGGATGTCGAAGGAGGCCGAAGGGCAACTTGGAGAGCCCCCACGGCGCTGCAGGCCAGGGGGGTTGGGAGTGGCCATGTTGACCGTGTTGCTCCGTGTTGCGCCCAGTCACCCGCGCAGGCGGTCAGGGCTGGGCTGGGCTGGGCGGTCAGTGAGTGGAAAGTAGCGCCCACGTGTGTTCGCTTGTTGGGGTCCCGGGCCCGGACGCAGCAGGTCAGACCCGGGAGGTCTCCGGAACCCCGTGGCTGCCCCTGGGGTGGATCAGGTCACCGGAACGGCTCCCTGCAGCCTGACTTGGCCTGTGTGTCATGCGGAGGCTGCGAGTCGGACCCGTGATGCGGGTGTGCTCCCACCTGGCTCTGCTCGCGTGGAGGGCCGGGATCGAACCCTGCAGCCGTGGCCCCGAGTGCTGGACCCTGAATACGCACTCTCTCCCTCCTCCCTCTCTTCCTCCTCTCTCCCCTCCCCCTCCCTCTCCTCTTCCTCCATCTCTCTCTCTCTCTCTCTCTCTCATACAACACTTCGTTCATCCGGGGTCCGTGCCTGGCAGTTCTCAGGCTTCCGAGTGCCTCCCCCCTCACTCGCTCTCTGCCCGGCTGTGTCCTCTCACTTGCCGGCCTGGCAGGGCGTTCAGGGCTCCTGCCCGTTGCGTTTCTCGGGGCGCTCTCACCGGAGCCCCTTTCCCCATCAAGGCTGCTTGGCGTTTGGGGGCGGTTCCCATGCAGATGACCCGTGTGGGTCAGCACTGCCCTGTTAGCGGACCTTCTCCGACTTTATTCGGACACCGCAGCGCTGGAGGATTTGCACCCACGCTTCCCGGCTAACCAGCGCCACGGGAAAAAGCAGCGACTGATCTCTTGCTGTGGGGAGCCTGAGCCCCACGGAGCCCTTCAGCCCCGTGGAACAGGCCCACGGCATCTCCGCGGCATCTCGTCTGTCCTGGAGGCCTGTCTCCAGGGCCCTGTCCACTGCTAGTCGCTTCCCAAGGTCAGGCCAGAGCCCCAACTTGCACGGAGTTGCCGAGTCTCAGGTTGTGACCCTCCCCCGGCCTCCCGTATCTCTGAATCCTCGTCCCTCAGGCCCCCTGGGTCTCGGCGCAGGAGCCTGCAGGTGTTCTTTCCGCTGCTATCAAGGACCGAGAGGCCCTTCCTGAAGATGCTCGAGTCACCTATAATGTGTTTCCATCCATTTTTTCCCCTTTCAAAATCTGTTCATCTAGGTGGCCCATATCCGAGCAGAAAGAGACATCTTGGTGGAAGCAGATGGTGCCTGGGTGGTGAAGATGTTTTACAGTTTCCAAGACAAGAGGAACCTGTATCTGATCATGGAGTTCCTCCCTGGAGGTGAGCGCGAGCTGGCCCTGAGGCTCCCGTGGCGGTGCCTGAGTCCTGCCCTTCTGGCTTCCTGGGCCCTTGGAGTGTCAGGGGCCTCTCGGGGAGCCGCGGGAAGTTTCCAGTCACAGCCCTGCTGTTCCGCGACACCAGCCGGGTGCCCAGCCTCTTCCCTGCCCTGGGGAGGGAGCGGAGCCAGGGTGGTCGCCCTCAGCAGGCCGCCTCCGCCTGGGCAGCGTGGGCAGCGATCCTAGCCAGCTGGGCTCCCGGGGGCCCGTGAAAAGTGCTCACTCTGGCCTGTCACTAAGGGACCCCGGTGCAGGGGCGGCGGCAGCAGCAGTGGCTGGGTTCTGTGGTGGACGCTCAGTGACAGCTGACCATGGGCCCGTCACTCATCAGCCAGGCTGCACAGCGGACACTGACGGGGCTTAGGGAGCAGCGTCGTCCCGAGTCAGCTCTGTCCTACTTGGGGACGTGTTACGGAGAGTTGGGAGGACACAGGAGACCCCGGCCCTGCTGGGAGCTGCACAGACCCAGCTGTGCCTTGCACCCGAGCCCCCCCCACCCGGCTGTGTCCGTGACCCCCGTGAGACTCAGAGCAGGGAAGGGCGAACAATCGGTCAGCTCTTGGCCCCCACGTGAGACCAGTCCCCACATGAGTGGCTGGTGACTGCCTAAGGGGGACCGACCGTCCCGTTGGGGGCTGGGGGCCTGCAAGGAGGGGCTGCGCTCTGCCTCCCCAGTGCTCACCTGTGTGCCCGGCAGCTTCTGGGGGGGTGGGGACTGTGCCCTCCCCCTCTCCCCGACGCTCCCCCGGCTGAGCCCTCAGGAGCCCTGGCTGCTGGCTAGTGCGGGGGCGTGGGGGGCTTTCCATGACGTCAGGGGCGTGGAGGGAGCCCGGGTGGGCCTTGTGGACCCCCCAGCAGGCCCTGCCCCCTGTCCCCAGGCGACATGATGACGCTGCTGATGAAGAAGGACACCCTCTCGGAGGAGGAGACCCAGTTCTACGTCTCCGAGACCGTCCTGGCCATCGACGCCATCCACCAGCTGGGCTTCATCCACCGGGACATCAAGCCCGACAACCTGCTGCTGGACGCCAAGGCACGTGGGCGCGGGCGCGGGGCTGTCGATCGGCCACGCGGGAGGGGCTGTGGGCTCTTTCCGGCTTCTCTGCTCTTCCCAGTCGGCATCACGTATTTCCAGTGTTGCTATAGCGACTGCGTGAGCTCTTAGCGAGAGTATCAGGCTGGAGCCATAGCACAGCGGGGAGGGCGCTTGCCCTGCACACACCCGACCCGGGTTCGATCCCCGGCATCCCATAGGGTCCCCAAGCCCACGGGAGTGAGCCCTGGGCGTAGAGCCAGGAGCAACCCTGAGCATCACTGGGCACGCACCCCCCAAAAGAGAGTCTGATAAGTGCGATTTGAAAGAGGAGTTTGCAGTCAGGGTGTTGTTCTCAGGGTTAATGCCGTCTCTTGATTTTACTGGATTTTTTTCTCTTCAGGGTCACGTCAAGTTGTCTGACTTCGGTTTATGCACGGGACTGAAGAAAGCCCACAGGACCGAGTTCTACAGGAACCTGACCCACAACCCGCCCCGCGACTTCTGTGAGTGGCCAGGCTGGGGCAGCATCGCGAGAGGCGGGGCTGGCGGGAAGGGCCTTCGCTGATGGCTCTCTCCTCCTGCCATTAGCGTTTCAGAACATGAATTCCAAGAGGAAGGCAGAGACGTGGAAGAAGAACAGGAGGCAGCTGGTGAGCCAGCCGGGAGGGATGGCCGCCGGGCGCTGGGGCCCGACGGGCGGGTGTGTGTGTGTGGGGGGTGTGAGTGTGTGTGGTTTCTTTTTTCAGTTTGTCTGTCTCAGGACCACTCTCAGGGCTGACTCCTGGCTCTGTGCTCAAGGGTCACTCCTGGCGGGGCTCGGGACCATCTGGGGTGCCCACAGCGAGGCAGACGCCCTCCCTGCTGCGCGGTCTGTCCAGCCCTGGGAGTGGTTTGTTTGTCTCGAGAGTGCGGGTTGATGGGCCGCTTCCCCGCAGGCGTACTCCACCGTCGGGACACCGGACTACATTGCCCCGGAAGTGTTCATGCAGACCGGTTACAACAAGCTGTGTGACTGGTGGTCCCTGGGGGTGATCATGTACGAGATGCTGATAGGTACGTTTGATAAATGGAAGCGCCTGACCGAACGCATCGCAGGAGCACGCGTGGGCGGTCGCGTCCCTCTAGGGCCCTTTCCGACGGGACCGGTCGCGGGGAGGGGCTCCCCAGGACCTCGGGGTCTCCAGCTCCCCCTCCTGCCTTGCAGACACTGGGCGGGTCAGGCCCGTGAGTGGAGGCGTTTCCCAGGCCTCCCAGAGCACTCGAGGCCGTTTGCTCCTAGTGGCGGATGCTCAGCGGGTCTGTGCTCGTGCCCCGAGAGCTGATGGGAGTTTGGCTTCCGACCCTAGGGTACCCGCCTTTCTGCTCCGAAACACCTCAGGAAACGTACAGGAAAGTGATGAACTGGAAGGAAACGCTGGTCTTCCCCCCGGAGGTGCCGATCTCCGAGAAAGCCAAGGACTTAATTCTTAGGTCAGTGGATCCCTCGGGCCTGGGTGGGGCCCAGAGACTCCACAGGGACCGGGAGATGTCCTCGCCCATCCTGGTTCCCTTCTTTGGGGGGGAGATGAGCCGCCGACCTCTCCCCTCAGCGAGAGCAAGGACGGGGAACAGACACTGGGCACAGGGAGGCTCCTGGGAGGAGGAGGGGGGGGAAGGGGGAGGGGAAGGGGAGGGCAGAGGGAGAAGCCGCAGCAAGTGTCCGCGTGGGAGGCTGAGGGGGCCCAGAGTGACACTGCCCATCACCGTCCTGAGGGGGCACAGAGCTGCGCTCCTGCCGGTGGTCTGGGATGTGTCACAGTGTCGGGAGTGGGTGCGCCCACCCGGGTTCCCTCCGCAGCACCCCATGTGGGCCTCCGAGCCCTGCCAGGAGCCATCACTGGGCACCAGCGTGGCCCAAGAACCACAAACAAGGAAAAGAAGGGAAGGAAAACCGCCTGGAGGCTCGGCACTAGGACACTGGCTCCAGACGCAAAACGTTCAAGAATGAAACGGCAGCAAACTCAAGACCTTGGGAAATAGTCTCAGTATTATTAATTGAGAATCAGTTCTGAAATAGTGCCTGTTCCCTCCAGTATTTCCATTTAATTACTTTAGAAGACCAGAGCTGAGGGGTTGGAATGACAGCACAGCGGGGAGGGCGTTTGCCTTGCACACGGCCGACCCGGGTTCGATTCCCAGCATCCCCTAGGGCCCAGGGCCAGCACCGCCAGGAGTAATTCCTGAGCACAGAGCCAGGAGGAACCCCTGTGCAACACCGGGTGTGACCCAAAAAGCAAAAAAAAAAAAAAATAGACTAGAACTGAGCGGGTAGTGCTGTGGTTCTCTGTGGAACTGTCGTCAGGTGATCGAAGCTGATCGAAGCTTTCTCCCTCGTTGCGCACAACAGCCGCTCACAGTCAGAAGGGAAGTGCGTGGATTAACGCAAATGAGATCCTGCGTCCTCCCTAAGACGCGACTTTGTCTCTAGGTTCTGCATCGACTCGGAAAACAGGATCGGCAACGGTGGGGTGGAGGAAATCAAAGGTCACCCGTTCTTCGAGGGCGTCGACTGGGGTCACATCAGGTACCTCCCGGGTAGGGGGTTGCCCGGGCAGCGAAGGGCTTGATGGAGCCGCGTGTTTGCCACCAGCCCACGAGGGGGAAACGGGCTCGTGCCCCAGCCTGGCACTCTGCAGGGGCGGCGCGGGTGTAGCGGGGTCAGCAGGCCGCTGTGCACTGCCGGGCGGGCGTCAGAAGCGTTGACCCTCCAGTGAAGCCCAGCCTTGACAGTCCAGCGTCCGGGCACGCGCTGTGCGCTGTGGGCGTGGAACCACGTGCTCGCCAGGAGGCGTCTGTGGCATCACTTAAGCTGGTTCTTGTGTTGGCGGGTCGGGGCCTCTGCTCTGACCACGCGCTGGCCTGGGCAGGAGGCTCAGGGGCTGACTCCGGGCTGGCACGTGTCCTGCCAGTCTGATTCCTCATGCCCCGACGCTGCTCCCACGGGCCAAAGGCAGATTCCCCACGGCCGTGGCGCCCTGTTGCTCGGTGCGCCTTGGTCACCTGTGTCACCTCTGATTACTGAGCCTCCCTGGGAGCGTCCCCCACCTGCACTCCCCGATAGGGCCCCCAGGAGCCAGTTCCGTGATCAGTCTCACGGTAGAAACTCGTCACGCCTCTCCTCACCCTCCACCGGCCCTCCGGAAGCCAGTTGCCCAGAAAAGCCTCGGTAGAGGTGGGAGAAGGTCAGGGTCCTGGCAGGGGTATGGGGACGGAGGTCGGGTCCCCGGGCGATGTGTCTTCTGCCGCAGTTCTCACACGCCTACAGCCCGCTGACCGCGCCCGGTGGCCCCTGAGGCCCGTGCTGGCTCTGCACAGGGCTGGCTCTGCAAGGACCGTGTCCTGGGAGTCACGAGACTGACCTGCCCCCCTGTCCCGCTGCAGGGAGCGGCCAGCCGCGATCCCCATTGAGATCAAGAGCATCGACGACACGTCCAACTTCGACGACTTCCCGGAGTCCGACATCCTGCAGCCAGGTGAGCCGGGCCTCGGGGCTGGGGGCTGGGGGCTGGGGGCTGCGCCCGCCCGCCTGCCCGCCGGCCCGGCCGCCGCTGCTCACACGCGCTTCTCTTCCCAGCGACCAACGCCGCGGAGCCGGACTACAAGTCCAAAGACTGGGTTTTCCTCAACTACACCTACAAGAGGTTTGAAGGGCTGACGCAGCGCGGCTCCATCCCCACCTACACGAACGCCGGGAAGCTCTGAGCGCGCGCGGCCGCCCAGCCCTCAGGTGGCCGCAGCCCGGGCCGCCCGCCCGCCCGCCCGCCCGCCCAGACAGCGGCCCCGACGCCCGGGCACGGAGCCCTACCGGCTTAGGGCTCGAGACTGCGGCAGGAATTGGTTGGCAGTGCCAGCTGGCTTTATTATTATTTTTTTTGTATATTATTATTTTTGTTAACTTTATTATACGAAGGTACTGGAATAAAAGAGACGTGTATCCCTTTCTAACCGCACCGCCTACATGCGTCTTAAGGTCCCTCCGCCCGTGTGCGCTGTGGCTCTGGGCGGCAACCCTGACCCGCCAGGAGCAATACCCGTAGCCCACGGAGTCCGCCCTTGGGCTCCCGCCCCCCCCGCCCCCCCCACGACACCCGACGGCCCCGCGATGCTGTTGCGGCCACTTGGAAGGAAAGTCCCGGGCGAACCCACGTCAGCTGCTCGTCCGTCCCGGCGGTTGGAGCTGCCCGGCAGGGTGGCGCGGGGCTCGGCGCTCAGGAACGCGGGCGCGCTCCTGGCAGACCCCTCTCGCCCGGCTCTCCTGGGGCCGGAGGACTCGCCTCCCCACCTGGGCAGTGCGGGGGTGACTCTGGGAAATGTCCGAGAAGCCATTCAGTGCTCGTGTTTCGGGTCTGGGTTCGGTTTTGTGTCCTGCGCGTGTAAGGGACCTGCAGAGACGGGCCTGTCCCGGGGGCTTCTAGAGCCTTCCTCGTCCTGGCCGCTTCACCTTTCCTTTCGTCTCGTCGTTTCCTGAGCCTCCAGATGTACCAAAGATCCCGAGCAGAGCGTTTTCCCTCCCGGTGGGACCCTGTTTCCAGACGGGACCGACACGCCGGGAGACACGCCTGTCCCCGGCTGGGACTCTTGGCGTCGGGTGAGGGTGTGGAGACCAGGCGGCATCCGGGGCTTGAGTTTCCCCGCGAGTTGGTTTCTCCGGCTCAGCGTTCTGCTTCCGAACAACTCTGGTTTCTTCAGTGCTAGTGGAGGGGTCAGCCTCGACCGCAGAAGAGCCGCGCCCTCAGGGGCCGGTGGGGCGGCCTGGGCCCCTGTCCTTGCCCATGGCGTCTTTGCAGTGAGGGTCTCGGTGGGTGCGAATGGCACGGGACCGACTGTCCCCGCCACACGATTCCTTCTGCCTTTTCTCCCCCTCTCCTGTTGCTGCTGAGTGGTATTTATGACGCCGCCTTTTGGTAACTGGCCTGGACCGTGTGCAGAGTAGGGGCAGAGCCGTCGGCTCCTGGGTGGTCTCCGTGTGACTCACGTGGACGTGTGAATCGAACCTGCCGCTGATTTTTTTTTAAAGAGACTTTTATCTTTGACTCAGTTTTATGAGATTTTCTCTTCCCACCTCGTCCCTCCCCTTTTAGTCGTTGTTAGGACTGTTTGCGGGTGTGACGGGGGAGGCAGGAAGCGCGCCATTTCCTAGTTCTCAAGTGGCAGCTGCCCCGGCAGGGGGAGGAGGAGACCCTTGCGTGGGGGTCGCTGCGGGGAGCTTCGGCACCTCAGTTTGCCGTGTGAGTGGCGGCCGCACCCCGGCCCTCTGCTTTGGCCGCGGAAGGGCCAGGCCGGGAAGCTCCTCGCGTCCCGTCTGCCCTGGAGTCAGTGGAGGGGGTCACGGTCTTCGGGGTGTTCTCCTCACCAAAAGCATTTAAGTGCCTACCTGAAAGCAATGAAGGACCGTAGCTGCCCTGCTGGGTGAGGAATTGGACTCAGGATGCCAGTTGACTCCCTGATTGGCAGAGTCCCCGTTCAGATCGCGTTTTCTCATATTCCGGGAGGACCGTTGGTTTCATAGACAGGATAAACCCCTATCTGATCAGCTGGGCGTGATGACGTTTTCTTTAGACGATATTTTGAATTAAAGAGTTTTATTATGAGATATGTTTCCAGTTTTTCTAAGTATATGGAAAGCTTGTATAATTCAGATCTATTAATTTCCTGGTTTAATGTAGACTTTTGACTTTTTATTAAAAAGAAACTTTGTATTAAAGCAAATTATGTTATTTTTCTTTTATACTTAATTTTCTTTTATACTTAATTAACGTAGCTTTGAATCCTTAAATTTATTTAAGCAGTGCTCTCTGAAAAGGAATGTACGATAAATCGATCTTTTCTGAATGGAATATATGTCGCTGATACCAGAAGCTGTTAATGGAAAGGAACAAAGATGGAATATTTGTCTTTGGTCCCGAAGGCTTAAGATCCGGTTCCCTTTCTTTCTAAAATGGCATACTTTTTTTCTGTTTTATTTCTTTGCACTCTCATACCTTCATATAATCCTGTAAATTAATAAGGCATCTTTAAGAGCATTTGCTTTTGGTGTCGGAAGGCTTTGGACCGTCCGTCTCCGATGGCAGGAGAAACTGTGTCTGGGCCGTGAGCGAGTCAGAAGCTGCGATTTTAATCAGAGGCGGTCCCTGCTACAAACGCGTTCTCTCTCTGATCGCTGAGGCTCAGAGCATTCAAGATCATTCGTTTTTTGCTACAACTGTGATGATTTCCTCCTGTGTTTATCTGAGTTTCTTTTCTCTTTAGAAGTGCACTTATTTCTGAAAAATTTTAATGAAACACTTAGAATTAATATAAATACGAGATGCTTGAGACTACTAGAGATATTTTAGATTTTTATGAAAAACATTGAAGAGAATATTGCTGCTTTAAAGAGAATAAAATAATAATATAATAGATTAGTTATTTTTTTAAAAACGCAATATCAATTGTTGAGCAATGACTAGAAAAGTAAGCATCATGCTGTCGAGATTGTGTTCTGTGTCTGAATCTCACCAATGTTTGGGCGCGTGGGGCCTTTCACTGGAGCTAAGGAAAGAATAAATGATGTTTATAACATTCCTGTCCGCGAGGTTTGGTTTTATTTTCGAGTTTTGAGAGAGGTGTTATTCAAAACTCAAAGCCGTTAGACACTTAAACGTCTCCTTAGGGCCCGGAGCGATAGCACAGTGGGGAGGGCGTTTGCCGTGCACACGACTGACCAGGTTCAGTCCTCGCCATCCCAAGTGCCCCCTGACCACCACCACCGGGAGTGATTCCTGAGTGCAGAGCCAGGAGTAACCCCTGAGCATCTCTGGTGTGACCCAAAAAGTAAACAACAACGACAACAAAACCAAAAGCATCACATGAAGAACCAAAATAGGGGCTGGAGCGATAGCACAGCGGGGAGGGCGTTTGCCTTGCATGTGTCTGACCTGGGTTCGAGTCCCAGCATCCCATAGGGTCCCCTGAGCATTACGAGGAGTGAGTCCTCCTGAGTGCAGAGCCAGGAGGAACCCCTGAGTATCACCGGGTGTCATCCCCCCCCCCCAGAAAAAAACAAAATATTTCCTTTTCAAATGTGTGTTTAAGCAACCAAACACATTTCACAGCTTTCCGTGGGCCCGCTGCTGCTCCCTAGGTCAGGACCCTTAGTAAGTGGCACATTAAAAACGCCTTCGACTGAGGTGGACACTGGAGCTACAAAGGCTTGAATGTCCCTGCGTCCAGTCCCACGGGAGTCGATGGGCGTCAGGGGATGTGGGTGCCACTGCGTGCTGCCCCGCGGGTGGTCATCAGTCAGGGGACGTGAGTGTCTCTGCCTCCTGCCCCGAGGGGCGCGGGCTGGCCGTCAGGAGACCTGGGTGCCCACAGGAACCCAGCTTCGGGCCTTTGAGGTCCCGGCAGGCAGGGCAGGGCTCCGTGACAGCTGCCCGTGTCCCCTGCAGTGACCGGGGCTAGAGGTGGGGGGGTCTGTCCCGTGCTCACTGCAGGGCCTTGTGCCATCAGGAGACCTGGGTGCCCACAGGAATCCAGCTTTGGGCCTTTGGGGTCCGTCCCAGCAGGGTGAAGGGGCTCCCCTGTGAGGGCGTCTGTCCCACCTGCGACAGGCCTGACACCTGCCCAGACACTGTGGGCCCATGGAGCACTGTGAGCACGCGTGCTCAGGGCTCAGACCACGCTGCCCAGGAGACAGGAAACCCACCCCTCCAGTTCGTAGACAGAAGGAAGTTCCTCCCGCACCCCAGCCGAGGGACCCGGGCGCCAGGATCTGGCCCAAGCCTTCTGCTCGAACTCGGGCATGGGTGGGACCCGGTCTCGCCATCCAGAGCAGCTCAGCGGCTGCGGGTCCAGGCGCCTCCCACGTCCTCAGCTGCCACCTGACTTCCTGCCTCTGCTTGGGAACCAGGGGACCAGGAGGGCACGGCCCGGCCAGACGCAGGCTGCGGCCACAGGGGGGCGAGGTCGAGCGGGACGGGAGGAACAGGGTGATGGGCTCAGAGGGCACCGCAGGGTCTGAGGGGCGGGGTGATGGGGGGGGGGGCACCCCCAGAGTCTGGCCAGCCTGTGGGCAGGCGGCAGCGCCTAAGGGTCCCGTGTAACTGCTACCCAGAGCTGGTGTGATTGTGCAGCAGATGGTGCTGGGTGCAGGCCCCTGGCGGTGCTTGGTGCTGAGTAACTGCTCGGGTGTGGGGACTCTTGGTCTGGGCCTCACGCAAGGTCCCTTGTGCCTGCTCCCAGCACCCTCCGGGCGGGAGGCTGCTGCTGAGGCCTCCGTCTGCCTCTGTTCTAGAGTCGGGGTGAGCGGGGGGCAGAGGGCTCCTGTGTCTGCCCCCGTGACACAAGGGCGGGGGGTCGCAGAGCAGTGCCCGGGCTCTGCCTGGGGTCCGTGACGGGGAACCTGTGTCCCGACCCTCCGAGTATCACGTCTCCCCGTGGAACAGACGAACTTAGATCCTGGGGCCAGACCCGCACTTCTGATCACCGCTAGGGAACAAATGTCCATTCAGGGTCACTCCCCGGGGTTCCCCCTGACGGGCAGGGAGAGTGTTGGCCGCCCCCTGGGATCCCCTTACGGGGCAGGAGAGTGGGGGCCGCTTCAAGGCTTCCTCGGGGCTCCGAGGAGCTGGCCCTGACCCGTGTCCTGGACAGCTTGGTCCTGCCCACAGCCTCGGGCCTCTGAGAGCTGCCCAGGGGATGCCTAGCCCGCGGCCAAAGGAGGAATGGACACGGCTCTGGGGTCTGCCCTGAATAGGGGCGGTCCCTCGTCTGATC